AAGTCATGAAATATTGTTGCAGTGAAAATTCAATTTGGTGTATAATCATTGGCATGCCAAATTTTTTGTTCGCTGAAATTTGAGTAAATTTGTTCACATATTCTGTAATTTTCACTGAATTCAATCTTAATTTTGGACCAAACAGATAAAAGTGACACTGTTTTTAGACTTTAATCAAAAAAATTGAAATTTTTGCAACATTTCATGTGTGAAAAAGCAGACTATAAGTAGAACTATTATGTGGTTGATACATTGACTTTGGTTCTTAAAGGTTTAGACAGGAAGTCTGTGATTTTCCTGAAATGCACAAAATTAAATCTTTGAAATGCGTGAACTGAACTGTGCTATGAGGTTATTGCAAGGATGGGGTAAAAAATCCACAGAGACATTACTGCGGAAGTATGGGCCAACGCGTAGCTGAGGTCAGTGTGACCCCGTACTGTCTGAGTACATACTTTCTGGTATTCTCGTAATAACCTTAAAATGATATCTTCTTTTTATGACTGCTTGGTGTTAGAATGCCTATATCTTAGAAAATAAGAAAAAAATATTGCAACTTTCTCATTTCAAACTTCATTTTCAAAATTGTCTGCCATCTTGGTAATGCAGCGTAGTTGTTTTCTAATTTCCTAATATGGTAAGATACAAATACTTCGTGCAATACCAAAAAATTAATATCTTGCAATCTGTGATTTACAGCACAGGACTTGATTAGTTGCTACTCGCAACTATTTTCAACCCCTATTTCATTTGCATATTTTTGTTTATATATATTTTGTGTGTTGGAATAAGCATCTGTTATTATTATTATTATTATTATTATTATTATAAGCTCATAAACTTATCATGATTAACAAATAAAAAAAATAAATGAAATATGTAAATAATGCCATTATTTTAATTAATACCAAGTATTTTTTATTTTGTTTAATTTTTTCTCAATAAGTTGTACTCATGTTATTGCTAAAACATAGAATGGTTATAATCACGGATGTGAAAAATGATATCCGTTATATGTTCAGGATATACTGTAATGCAATAATTATTCATTAGGTTTTAATTTCAAAATTTTTAAAATTTTGATGAAGAATAAAATCAGCCAAAAAAAATCTGGGTGAAAATATAAAAAAACCAATATAACTCACAAGAACATGTTAATTTCATAAAAATAAAATAAATTAGACTTTTGTATGTAAAACAAGTGTTTGTGTTAATTAACACGAATAATATATGCAGTTGGGATGAGTTATCAAAACAGAATTATTTTTCCTTACCTGCCATTATTTATAAAAAGTCAAAGGTCAAACCATATATTGCCTAGCAATGTGCTGTCTTGTAACATGTGCTACTGCACGTACATGAACAAAAGAGATTTGATAGAAATATGAAATGTCAAAATTATGATGAATGTAATTCAGATAGATATATGTGCATATCATTTTTTTCAGAACATAGTTTTTTGCAATTTTATCGCATAATTTGTATAACCTAATAATTGTTGATTTCTAGTGAGTTTGACAGCATTGTGATACTGACACCACACATATGTATAGCAGATGGCTTAAATTTTGAACTTGAGGGGGCACCCAGTTTGAAGACTAAATTTGATAAAACTCCCCTTACTAAACTCAACATCATGGCAAAAACAAGCTTTTGATGCCTCCCTGAAGTTCAAATTCGAGTTCTGTACTGGAGATTAATTACATTAACTTACAGGATGATCAAATGAATTTGTGTAGAAAACCAAAACAGACAATGAACAGTCGCTTTGTTTTTTGGGCACAAATTTCTGTGATGTTTGTTTGAAAAAGAAAATTGCCTTCAGGGGATTTAAACTCTTCAAGACTTTGTACCCTCTTACAAAACCCTATTCATCTGTTAGCAAGAAACGTCAGCGTAAATGCAATTCTGTTTTTGATATCACCATAGGAAAACAAAAGCACATGCACTTAAATTACCCTGAACAAAAGAATCGTCTTTTTTTTTTCTTGAGCAGGAAATTGCCTTTTTGAATGAAATGAATTGAAAGCTGTTACTGAATGTATATCACATATGTGTAGAAAATCAGTAATATGCAGCTGTTGAACAACAATTCGTGATCATGGTGCTTTGTAAGACAATAAACCAGCTGACTGCAGATTTGTTTTGTCCCGCATACATTGTACATGTATGTGAACTTCAGCATGTTTATATTTGATGGTGCCATATGATAGAGTACTCTGGCACGTACACCCAAAACTGATAATCTCATTTCCTTGTTTTGAAATACAACGAAACAATTATTGTAGTATATTTTTTATGTAATTTTTGTTCAAATATAACTGGAATGTGCAATATGTATGGAACAGTTTATTCTACATGTGATATGAAATGAAATGTAAAACATATCTCTATTTTTGAATGAAAACTAATTGTAAGTCTTGAAGAAAGAAAATGTTCCTCATTGTAGAATGTTTGAAATATAAAAATTCCCCCCAATAACAAAATGACACATCCCTAAACTTGAAACAAAAATTTATTGGAAGTCGATGTGAAAAAGAATTGCCATTATAGTAGGTTTGAAATATAAAATTCAGGCTAATGTAGCACCCCCCGAAATGACAAAATGACACATCCCTAAGCTTGAAACAACAATTTATTGGAAGTCGATATGAAAAAGAATTGCCATTATAGTATAGTAGGTTTGAAATATAAAAAATCAGGCTAATGTAGCACCCCCCCCCAAATAACAAAATGATACATCCCTATGCTTGAACCAAAAACTTATTGGAAGTCAATGTGAAAAAAAGATTATCATTCTAGTAGGTTTGAAATAATAAAATTCAGGCTAATGTAGCACCCCCCCAATAACAAAATGATACATCCCTAAACTTGAAACAAAAACTTATTGTAAGTCCATATGAAAAAGAATTGTCATTGTAGTAGGTTTGAAATATAAAAATTCAGGCTAGTGTAGCACCCCCCCCCCCCATAACAAAATGATACATCCCTAAGCTTGAAACAAAAACTTATTGTAAGTCCATATGAAAAAGAATTGTCATTGTAGTAGGTTTGAAATATAAAAATTCAGGCTAGTGTAGCACACCCCCCCAATAACAAAATGATACATCCCTAAGCTTGAGTTGAAAACTCATTGCATCTGAAATAGAAATTGTCATCAGTGCAGTTGGGTTGAACTATAAACATCCGTACTAGTGTTGATAGCTTAAAGTTTCCATAATTATTTAGTTTCCTCCAGTTGAGTTTTTCCTTCTTGTTCGTTTTGATTATGTTGGCCGATTGCCAAAGGTAAATGAAGTGTTTCATGATGTAATACATCCTGGGGTGGTCAACTTTGTATATAATTCTCTCAATGTTATATGTATCTTATTTGACCCAGGGTTACAATACAATGGCTAAAATAAACACATGGTGTCAAGCACATGGCTCTTGTGTGTAACATAGTCCCTCTGTGTGTGTACTTACCAAACATGTTTTTCCACTATTTTTAGTTTTCATTGATGTAGTCTGTGATGGTGACTTATGTTTTAGGTACCCGCTGTCAGTATTTTTCGAACATGCCTGAATTGATTTTGTGAAAAGAGAAGTCAATAACAGCCTACATAATGCACGTTGGTTTGTTTCTTGTTTTGCTGGCCTTTGACTGACTGGTGGCCATTTTTTACAAAATAACACAGAAAATCATCATTTTAAAGTCTGAATATACAATAATTTCTCAGGCATGCCATTGCTAATTTCATTCAAACTTGGTGTGCGTACACATGATGGGTTTTTGGTGCACTTGTTATAGATGTGTTTCTAATTAGGCAGATATGGTTTGCTTTTACAAGTGGATTTTACATCAGACGGAGCACAAATTGAGTTTTTTTCCTACATGTTTATGTGTAATATAATGTATTAAAGTACGGAGCATCCTCAGCATGAAATTATTTTTTGGCAAAATTTTTTATCAAGATTTGTAGTCAATGAGAAAATACATGTATGTTTATTTGGTTCAAATATAATAAAAAATTTAATTTAAAAATATACAAACATTTTGCTCCAAGCTTGTGATGAGAAAAATAATGGCATTCAAAGGAAAAATGATATCGCAAAATGAGACTGAATAGTCACATGCCATGCCAAGTGAATATTTGTAATGAATGTTAGGGTGCTATATACCATTTCCTCTAGCAATCACTGTATTATCCAGTTGTTTTGCTTCAAGTTGAAAGTTAAACATATGAATATTATTGAAAAAATATGATTTTCCTTCTTTCACAAAAAATGGATTTTTTTAAAATATTTATTTTATATTATTTTAACTTTATAGACTTTCTTAATAACTGAAAATAATAATTGAAGGTAATTGAAATAAAAATTATTCACAAAGTTATGAGAGAGCGCTATAATGTGAACATTTATTGAGTTCGTGCAATTCCCTGCTTTGTTGTCATCTACAGTTTTTATATTGGGTGCCCCCTTTTTCTATGAAGCATAGGATTTGGCAGAATTGTGAAAAATAGTTTATTTGTTTGCGATATATTTCCTTGTACGTTTCCATCATCTTGAAAATATAACTTTATTGCTCCTTATTTGGATTTCCTTATAAAATATCATGTTGATTACTGTAAAATACTTTATTTTCGCTGGGAATTAATGTTTGCCGCAGGAATGATTTAGTGAAAATACAATTCAGTGAATATACCATTTTTCCTACTTTTCATACTCGTCAAAAAACAGTGAAAATAAATTCCATACAAAACACCCAAAAAGTGTTTCCAGTGAAAAATTAATTCCAGCTAAAATAAAGTATTTTATAGTAGATGGTTGATACTACAAAGTTACAACACACTTGTGACTACATGTAAATACATACAGAGATGACAAATGTGTTGTATGGCTGTTCCGCCTTGAAACTGACTTCCCATGGCAGGAATGCAAAAACACATTGAGTCATATCCTGATATATTCTTACTTTTCACCCTTGTTTATAATTGCCTGTATTTGTTTAATTATAGATCTACACGGATTGGGCCAACCATTACTTGGAGAGAGCCGGATTTAAAAAGCTTATAGGAGATCTGCAGCTTGATATCCATGATGGAGTAATCCTAGCCAATGTTATTGAAGCAGTCAGTAAGTAACCATAGAGACTGTAGTCAAGGAAGGAATTAGCTACCATCTTGTGCTAGATTTGATTCAGTCGTAATATATATGAATCATGGGTAATGCTGTTGAATCATGGGTAATACATTTGAATCATGGGTAATAATATTGAATCAAGAGTAGTATACATGAATCATGGGTAATATATTTGTAATACTGTTGAATCTTGGGTAATTTACACTTGAATCATGAGAAATGTTTCATATGAAAACGTGTTCCTTATATGATAACATGCCACACCTAAAAGACTTGCATCTTCCAACTGTGCTTTATTAGTCCCTGTTTGAATGCAGTCAGAAAACAAAGACTTATGGATTGACCTCCGTTAGCACATGTTTATATACGTGTGTCCATGTGTATCCAGCCATATCTCGCACGTGCTTGGACCAAATCAAGTTCAAACTTCACACATATCAGACATTATATCGGTCATATGCACATACATTTGTTTCATGATCTGATTCATAATAGCCGACTGGCAGCCATTTTAAGTAAAAATTGCAGGTGTGTATGCTTTATTTCACATTGCAGCCTCATAATAAGCCTTTGGCGTCGGCTGATATTATGGATATCGTCTTGGCATTCATTCGATATCTTGCACCAATATGTCATTAACAATGACTTGCTTTCTGTTTTACTACAAACTTGCAGGCCGTTCAAGACACATGAGATAGACAAGTTTTCTAGTTACCTTAGAAACTTGTGCGGTCTGGTGTAACATTTGATAGCTCATCAGAATGCCAGGTACCAAAAAAAAACAGTGAATAAATTGTATGAGCTAGAAATGAACCCCTTATTCACTGTACTTCATCCTAAAAATCCAGGTGATATTACAACCGTACACTTTACTAAATTTTACTGATTCACACACAGAAAATGTGGCAAATTATAAAAAAATGATGATGTACATGTACATAGACTTACACAGCATATGCCACAGAACCTGTAAAGAATGATATCACTGACAAGGCCGCCAAGGCCTCTGGTGAAGATCCATACTTGCCTTATTATCTCCCTTTCCTAGTATGCCCCTATTACTCGTCTCATAGAGCCAGAAGGTAAATTTTCACGCATGGGTCACTCTTGCACAGTAATAACAAATCTCTCTCATTAAATCATCTGGTCATACAGATCTAAATTTAGCTGTGATTGTTTACCCCTAGGCTTACAGAATCTTGGAAGCAGTGGATGTCCCTCCAATTGTGAATGAGTGCGCCCTCACAGTTTATTTGAAGAAATGATACAAGAAATAAAATTATTAATAATTTTTGTCTGTTTTTCGCAGCAAATGAAAAAGTACAAAATGTAAAATGCAATCCACGGAATGAAAATCACAAGGTGAGTCAGCTGTTATCTCTATAACCTTCCCTCCCTCTGAATGTAATGAAAATCAGGTGAGTCAAGAGGCTGTCATTTCTACAACTGTCCCTCCCTCTGTAAAGTAAGATGAATTTATAAACATTTTCTCTGTCGCCTTCCCTCCCCCCATAGCCGGATTTGTGTATCAAATAAATGCATTGCTCATTGCAGATAGTATAATATTTTCTCTCCACCTCCTAGACAATACATAAAAGTTTTCAGTCTTCTGGTTGCTATGTTACTGATTATGTGCAGTATTAATTCCAGGATGAGACCATTTAGCTATGATTTTTCACAAGTTTAATATATTTTCCGTCTGTTACCCCGCGGTGATGTCTTGTACTATATATATAGAGATACCAAGAAGACACTGTATATTGTAACATTCTTTATTTTCGCTTTGAATTAATTTTTACTATTCTCACTGAAGGAATTTTCAGTGAAAATAAAATCCAGCAAATAAACACTTTTTTCTATATTTTATATAACTCGTCAAAGATCAGTGAAAATAAATTCCATACAAAATGTCTGAAAAGTGTTTTCAGCGAAAATTATTTCAACTAAAATAAATATTTCACAGTACCGGTAGTTACATTTTGTGTCACTCAATCGGTTTGTACATAAATATTCATATTTTCAAAATATTTTTGAAACTTTCAGAAAACCTCAACAACTATAAGGCAAAATTTTAAGTTTAAAAGCTATATGGATTGTCAGATTGTCACCATTATGTGCATAGTTGCCTAGCAACAACAACTTGGCTATTTGAGATGATTGCCTGTGTGTCCTGTTGTGTAACAGCAACTCATTGTACAAAAGCAATAAATGAGAGGCATATAGAAATGACATTAAGCCTCCATTAACCTGAAGTGACCTGGGCTTTGATACAGAGGCAGACATTTTGTCTGTGTGTCTGTTGGTGTATACTTGATTGATTCAACACCTGTGAAGACATCTCTAGCAAAGCATTTCTCTTTAGTATACTAACTTAGGGACAACATCAAAAGTTCAATGTAGGATAAAAAACTTAATTCCTTTAGTTTTTTTTTCTCAAACCCCCCACCCCCACTGAAACTTAATTGATAAATATTGACCATGGCGTCAGACTACATTCACCATTAAATACAAATTGATAATCGGACAGTAGTATGGCATAGTATTTGACGCACATATTTACACTCGAAGCAAACCATTTTCTCGTCTTGGATGTGTTTTTTTTCATTTTCTGTTATTTTTGTCCATGATTGGATAGAGAGAAAAAAACTACAAATACTCCAAGATTTTTTTGACTTCATTAAAAAATAAAATCATTTTTGTAGGGTGGAAACTTTTTGAGAACAAAACCCCCCCCACCCGCAAACTAAAGCAAATAAGTTTTTTATCTGATATTGAGCTTTTGACCTTGTTTTCCGAACAATTGCGAAGATCTCGCGAGATGCATGAAGACGCGTGTCGAACGTCTGCCGCAAAAATCGAACGATTTGATTTTGAACTCGAATTTCTTTATTTCGCAGCTTACATTGACCGGCCGATCTTTCGACAGAGGAATATTGCTTCCGAATACCCTTACTTAATCCAAATTGCCTATCATCAAATGTGGACAGCACATTATTAAGCATGGAAATGTCCCCGAAATACTTTCGCGTTTGTCGAATCCCACGCGATGTTTGACGCGACTACGACGCTATGACCTTTGTTTGTCCTGTTTTTACGTTCGATTTCACGCATAACGCGTGATTCTCGCAGTGAACGGAAAATGGTCTATTTGATTACTTGTGTCCTACTTTTTATGAGAGAACAATAAAATGGCAGTATTGTTTTTAAATTATTTGTTCCCATGGCCTTCACCTTATCAGGTCATAGCTTGGATTAGAACAGTTTAATATTATCTGGTAGTTTGTTTTAGATCCAGAAATGTTTAGGTTTCTAGTTTTCAGTTACAAATGTGACATCACATCCTTTCTGTTTTGTTTTTGTCAAGGAATTTGCATGATAATTGTAAAGTAAAATTGTACGTCAACATGAATTTTTAAAGACCAAATTGACCAGAATCGTGTTTATTTTTTCCCCTTGCTTAAGCAGTAATATCGTTTTGCCTGATTGTGATTTCTGTTTTTCTGTGCATTCAAATTCATACATATTGTTTCATTTTAGTGTCAAATTTTTTAATAACCTGTTTGAAGTTGACAAGACCAAAACAAATTTTTGTTCTTGAGACACTTGCACCTACCAGATTAAATTTTTCAAATTTTTTTTTCTGGATTTGCTTGACATTCAAGATGAGTATAAACCTTTAAACTTTTTGGCAAAAAAAACAAAAATAAAACACCCTTGTTTCCTGCTTTTGGGCAAAAAAAGGAAAACAATTTTTTTTGTCTGTCCTTGTAGTATTACATTACTAGTACCCCCCGGTACATGTAATTAGAAGTTGTTTTTTTTCCAGTTTTGCTCTAAATAACACAATTATTACATTTTTGCTAATGACTTTTGTTTTTATTTGCCTTTGAATTAGTATTCATTATTTAATGAAAAAAATAATTAGTTTGTAGACAGTTTAAAAACTTACTATCCGTCCACTTGACGTATGGCTGGTTTGAGTTTAACTATTCCGGCACAGCTTGCCCAATGTTAATGTACCAGTACTACAGCGGAAATAATAGATACCACATTGTTTAGGTTTGGGGCAGTATTTCCTATTTCCCGCCTCTATATATAGCCTAGCTCATTTCTGACTGTTGCCATTATAGCTTACCATTTGAAAATAAGATGTAATAGATATCAACAAACAGTTACTCTATTGTTAATAATGATGGGAAAGTGGTTTTAGAACTGAATTTGGTGAGCAGCATTGCTTGAATGAAACCACAACTTTGACCAACAATCAATGTGGTAGTTATTAACATTCTAAAACTGATACTGTAAAATACAATTATTTTAGCTGGAGTTAATTTTCACTGAAAAAAATTAGTTTGGTGTTTTGTAGAGTTTTTCAGTGATTTTTGAATGAGTTGAGTGAGTTGAATGTAACATACAGAAACATATAAGAAAAGCTATATTCACTACTTGGTTTTATTTTCACTGAATCATTCCTTCAGTTATAAGAAATTCCAAGCGAAATAAATTATTTGACAGTATGTGGTAAATAAATTAATTTGGGTGAAAAATAAGAATTTTAGAATTTAGAGTGTGCAATACAAAAAAAAACACCTTATTATGCGAAATTGTTTATAATGTTTGAGGGCAGGTCAAAGGTCAAAAACAGTAATAAGGAACATACTGCAACAATCAGTTTCTTCAATTAGTTCCATACTTACATAATTTTAAACTAGTATATTTTGAATTAACCTCTTCACCCCTATTATCTATTAATGGAATATCCCATACTTAACTAACAATATACTGTAGAATACTTTATTTTCGCTATTTTCGCTGAAAGGATGATCCCGTGAAAATAAAATCCAGCGAATATACTTTTTTTCCTATATTTCAAATTAAACTCATCAAAAATCAGTGAAAATCAATTCCATGTACAAAACGCCCAAAACGCCTTTTCAGCGAAAATTAATTCCAGCGAAAATAAAGTATTCCACAATAGTTATTCCATTATCCAGACAGGGAATTAGTTTGTTCTCCACCTCCATATGACTCGTCAATGGAATATTCCATGTCTGGCTAACAATAGGGTCATTCCATTACCCAGATTGGGGAATATAGGTGATAAGTTAGAAGGTTGATAAAATATTGTCACAATTAAG